GTGAAGTGTTGCAAGTGTTCGTGCATTGCAATCGTGCGCGAAGCAATATACGGGAGTGTTTGATCGTTTTAATATAATTAAAATCACGGATTAGAAGCACGTTCGTTCGTTAATTTCAATTCCGTCGTGTTCGCGAAGTATTTTTGCAATTTATATATTAAATTTATAGTGACCAACGCAGTAATTRTATTAGAGTTTGTTCGAGTAAAGTTGTATTTTTATCTTTAAACAGTCGCACAGACTGTTCGCGTATTAGAGTCAGTGCATCAATGAAGATTTAAAATTTAACGCGTTTCGGGATTAAAATAAAGTGTGAAATTTATTTGTTTTAATAGACTGTGTGCAAAGCAGTCTTTGAATTAGTTGTAGAGTCAGTGAATGGGCGTAAAACAAATTAAAATCAAACGCGAATTAAAGTCAGTGTTGTTCGCCGTATAATTTTAATTTCGGTTTCGCGATAAGAAACTCATCTATAGTTCCTTATTTTCGTTTATAACGCGTTATTAGATTCACGCGAGGTGCATCGCCATGGTGCAATTGAGCTGCATCCCATTGGAATGCATTGTAAGTATTCATTTTTATTAACATTTTATTCGTTTCTGTTTGATATGATTTTGGATCATATTACATATAACTTATCATTTTTTTCTATTTTATTTTACAGATATGACGACGGACTTTCTACCTTATCAAAGATGTGGGATGAATTCTTCGATGGATCATCGATGGATCATCGATGGATTTTCGATGGATCTTCGATGGATCTTCTTCAACATCAAATGGAGAAATACTTCGATCGTCAGACTACAATACTTGCTGCAAAGTAGGAGTGTTTTGGAGCCATCGTAGAACTTCTTACGGAGTGAGTAAAAAAATTTAAAGTTCCTCCGGTGCTCAATCATGTCGAGGATGAAAGGTCCTAATCGGCACGAGTTACTGGTTGTAATTAATTAAATAAATTATTAACGAGCACATGAGTAATTTCTTTCTAGGAGTTATCATGATAATTGTATATATTGTATTGTATTATATTAGTTCAGGACAGGTATTTTTGTCTTATCGGTTAAATTTATTTAATGCACTTTCTTTTTTATTACATATTTTGTTCGTGGCTAGTAGTGGGGAAATCGAGCATTAATTTACTTGTTTTCGCGTCCATAAAAACATGTAATAAATGTCTTACATACATTGCTTCATATTTAGTTTATCTAATCGCGATTAATTTTAATATATCGATACTTCGATATTATAAATAAATGAGCAAGAAGACAAACCCATTCGCGACGGATAGATTCTAGCAGTTAAGTGGTGGCTCAAAGCCCAGTTCTTTTATTAGAACAGCCAATTTAATGAAAGGAGTCGTCCGATATATATATTTATTTTTCTCTTTTAAAAAATTCCTAAATATTACAAAATTAAATTTAACAATTCTTGCATAATCCAAAAGTCAAATCCAAATGACTTGTAGAGTCTTAGCCCGCTTTGATGAAATAAAATGTTCATATGTGTTCATATATATATGTTAATTATAATTTTTAGATCAGGATTCTCAGATTCTAATATACTAATCTCCCGTTTCTCCCTCCTGTACTTTTTGCATTCTCATCTATGCGTGTGCCCAGGTGCTACTCGTATGGGTAAGAAACGGTTAGTATAGGTTTAGTTTTACATTTTTCCCCTGTTGACGGCTATCATTGTGCTGGTGATTGCACGATGTACTTTACACCTGTGTGTGCGTATTAGGAAGAATGTTTTGTACATCGTTTCGCGATATTTTTAAATTTTTGCATCATTCAATACTCGGAGTACTACCTGTAGAGTCATTTATGATATGAAAAATACGAATATATTTGTTTTTTCATATTTGTTTGAGAATCAGCTTTGTTGCTGAGCAGAACTTAACATCGCAATCGGCCCGCATGAGGTCAGCACCCCTGGGCGAACAACTTCCTCATGACCTCTAACACGCATGCGCGATCTTTACATCTTTAACTCAAGAAGTAACGGCCATTAACGGCCATTGTCAATCCAATCTTTAACACGTTCGTACGTGCCTAGGTTTGTCTTTGATTTCTATATCTTTTCTAGTGTGCTTATCATCAGTTAATCTCATCGGTCTTCTCACGTAGTTGCTGCACCGATGCGTCAATCGGCATAATTAATAATAAGCGAACAGGTCGCTGACCTTTAGGCAACTCAACCACTCACCTCACAGTGCATCAATAATATCTCTGTGTGGGAGTGCATCAATAATATCTCTGTGTGGGAGTGCATCAATAATATCTCTGTGTGGGAGTGCATCAATAATATTTCTGTTCTCATATTTATACATTTTTGCTCATTAAAGACGATTGCGTATTCACACGCACTTACCTTGTTTTATTGCTATTACCTTTGTAGCGAATCCCATTGTTCTCAGCGTACCATTGGTACGGTAAATTTTGAACATTGGTCCTTCGAGCCGGATTCGCTACAAATTTGAAATTAGTGTTCGTGTAAGTGCGTGATTGGTGCGGGCGTCTCAACTCGAATCTCATGCGGATTCCGTTGTTCAACGCTCACGGGAGCAGTAACATTCAATTGTAGGATACATTATCAGGGGTGCTCATTAGAACTCAGCAGTTTCAAAAGCAGCTTCCGGAAAAGACTCGCTAGATGAAGCGGAAGGCGGTGACGCGCTCATCTCGTCTCTGCAAGCGCTGACGATTAAGCTCCTCCCTACCGAGTGGTAGGGAGAACTCTGGGCTCACTCATTCTCCGACCGCTGACGCAGCTTGTACTTCCATGGCGACATGGCAGAACTCAACATCGTATCTACCAACGGAACTCATATTGAAGTACCACAGCCAACTCAACCGGCTCAGGTTGTTGAACTCAATGCTGGAGGAATTATCCACCGCGGACACGGCTACACTTAGTGACGTTGAAGTGGATCTGGAGCATATCGAACGCATCCATCAGGAGTTCACGGCCACTCATGAATTTTTTGAGTTGAATTGGCCGGCATTTTTCCTTAATCATGCCTACTTCGCCGAAAACGTCCACCAGCAAGAGGCGAAGACTCATCAGAGGCTCAGGCTCGCACTCAACAAGGTGCGACGTTCACTTGAGGTTGAGCATCCATCACCAGCGACGGAACCACGCGTTGAATCAAACCTATCTGGCATTCAGTTGAAGAGCTTCTCCGGCGAATATGCAGATTGGCCGGGTTTTAAGAAGATGTTTGAGTCGCTGATACTCAAGAATGAGCGCATATCAGAAATCGGGCGACTGCACTATTTGCGCAGTTGTATGCAAGGTGCACCGGCTCAACTCATTGCCAATTTCCCATTGACTGCCAGCTCCCTTCAGCCGTCATGGGAGCTACTCAACGCCCGCTACGAGAACAAGCGGTTGTTCATCCAGGCTCAACTCGACCGGTTGTGTCGAATCACCCCACTCACATCAAAATCCGCGACGGGACTTAATCGGTTAATATCAACGGTGTCGGAGGCTCGTAAGGCATTGGAATCACTGGGGGTGGTAGAGAATTTGGGGGATCTCATTCTGGTGCATCACGTTGTGCGTCAACTGGATCACTCAACGCGAGAAGACTGGGAGACTTCGCTGGGCTCATCCCGCGAGTACCCCACCTTCAAGCAAGTTGAAGATTTCGTAAATTCACAAGCTCGTACATTGGAACACATCGAGACCACCTCCGCTCAGTCATCTGCGGAGAAGACTCAGCCGACCATTCCCCAATCGCAACAATCCAGAAAATCAGCCACAGCTAACCAGGCCACCACTCATCAGAAGAGTTCGCAGTCGGACGCGCGATTCTTTTACTGCGATTGTTGTGAGGGAAAGCACTTCATCGTGACGTGCTCAAAGTTCCGTACACTCAATATCATTGCACGGCGTAGCATAGTTATTGACGCCAAGTTATGCTACAACTGTTTGGGACGGCACAAAGCGGACTCATGCCGGACGTCTCTGCGTTGTAAGAGGTGTGGAGCGAAGCATCACACCATGCTCCACGACCCGGCACATCGTCAGCAAACAACCGCAACAAAACCAGAGCGGTTGCATTCAACCTCATCCTCACATTAGGATTCAGGTGCAATCGTCCACTCATCATCCACTCAAGGCACTCATCACTCAACGCTGCTTGCCACTCATACTCAGCAGCTCATCATTGTTTATAACGAATACTCAAGGGGCTTCAGCGAGATGACCAGTATCGTACACTATACACCTCATTCATGGAGGAGTATGAAGAACTTGGTCACTTGATACCTATCTCAGGCAACTCATCGAGGTCAGCACGAGAAGGTGAGTTCAACACTTGTAAGACTGTTGGTGGGGATGACCTTGACACCAGAAGCTTGCGGTTGAGGGTCTTAACCAACAGCTCACGGGCAAGGACTCAACCTCGACCGAATCATGGGGTTCTCAAACCAGACAGCATAACAACCAGGCTGCGAGTGGTGTTCAATGGTTCGAGCAAAACCACATCAGGCTACTCGCTCAACGATCTCATGCACACCGCGAATTATGTGGATTAAGAAAGAATTCAAAACTTTGGCCAATTTCTCAATTCCCAGATGGTTCAACACCTGGACCAACTTAACGATGGAACTTCAAGGCTTCTCTGATGCTTCACAGTTAGCGATGTCAGCTGTAGTCTATATCGTTGTCAGCTCACCGTCCACAGGCGCTCATAGCTCATAGATCATCTTTTACGGTGGACGGGACTACCATGGATGACCGAATCAATGGTCTCCTGGCGACTTCAAACGGCAATACCAGACGACTACAGTTCGCGCGAGGCTCGTCCTGGCGTTGCACTCTTTGTGGCAGCTCCAAAGATCGAGTACCATTGAGACTCTATACATCGTTACTCATCACTCAAAACTTTGTTTCAAGGTCGTCAAGAGACTGAGAAAACATTCCTTCACCTCACCCCCAATTTGCAATTTTTATTTTGTATATAACGTATATAGTTAAGAAGAATTTTATATAATAATTAACAAATATTATTTTCATATTAGTAACTTAATATAATATTTGTACTTTTCCTGTTTCTTAATTAATTATATTTTTTATTGTAAAATCATGCTTTTAAATTTTATTTTATTTTACAAACAGTAAATAGAGATTGGATAAAAATAAGTAGGGAATTTAAATGAAAAGTGCATCTGTGAATTGGACCACTTATATGTTAGGCTATTGTATAACTCGATTCTATGATTAATATAGTTTTCTTCTTGTAACAGATGATCATTGTTGGATTTATTATCAAATCTTCTGGATTCTTTTATATTTGTGTATCTTAACACTTTACTGACCAGCCGCTTAGCCGCAGATACTCTCTGGCGACCGCTGTTTTTCGGCCTACACTAGCGCACGGGAGTATCTGTGCGTTTCGTATGCTCAGAGAGAATTGTCCGCTTCTGTTATTACAGGATATATTAGGATATACAGGATATTACAGGATAGGATAATTAGATTTAATAAAATGTTGATAACAACAATGCAACAAAAGCGATTGTTCGGTAAGCGTGAGCGATAAAAAGCCGATTAATAATCGATCGGTCGGTTAGCGTTGTCGATTAAAAGCCGATTAATAGGCAAACAGTCAGTAAAGTGTTAAATTGATAAAATATATATAGATGCATTTTTGAAGGCACACATATGTTTATACACTAAAAATCAAATATAATTATTTTTAAAATTCTATAATAAATATATAAATTCAAATATATTAGTAGATATGTACCAAAGATAAAAATATACTATTAAGGGTCTCGTAAATAATTCTTGTTTCTTATAGGATATAAAAAGAAGTATTATTTATTTATTAAAAAAATGTATCGTGTCTACTACTTGTTTAAGTGTGAAATTTGTTTGCTTCAATTGACTACGTGCAATGCAGTCTTTAAATTAGTTGTAGAGTCAATGATCGGGCGTATAATAAATTAAAATCAAACACGAATTAGAGTCAGCGTTGTTCGCCGTAAAATTTAATTTTTGTAATTTTTTAATTATAGATAAATGTTTTCGGACGTTGCTGCAAATTATGGGATAGAAATTCATGCGCTACTTTTCGCCTAGTTTGCCTTTAATATCGTTTATTCTTGATTCTCTCCTTTATTTTCTTCTTATACTTTGATCGACTCTAAGTGTTCGACAAGAAATTCCGCTACGGGATGCTACCAATCAGTATTCTTTACTCCACACCCTTCATCGCACTTCTAACTCTCAACCACCAATCCTATCCACCTCATTTCTTATCTTTTTTACAGAATATTCTACATCTATCTCTGTAAAATTCTTTTTACTTACATGTCCCTTCCCTTTCCTACTCGCATCTCTTCAGGAAACTTTGCTTTTCGTAATCCCTGATATTGTCTTCATATATTAGATCACTTTTAGTCCGTACCTTGCACACATCTGCACTCCGAAACAAAACTCCTCCCATATCTTTTTCAGCTATAACGCTAGCTGTCATGCTGGCTACACTTGTTTCCATTCCAATGAATTATGCATGTGAAAATGCAACTTCTCGCATCCAATGTTTTTCGAATAAGGATTTATATTCTAGCTCAATAGATAGCGCTATATAACCATTGAGTGATTCTGCGATAAAAAAAAAAGCTATTTGCAGTAAACCTACCTTCTATATCACTTCCATACGAGTCACACAAGAATGAGTAACTTTATTTTTCTATCTTAAGTAAGAATTCGTGAGCAAGTTAGTCTAAGGGCCTGCATAGTTTAGTAGTTAAAATCAAATCGATTTAGAGAAATCTTGATACCGTAAAAAAAAAGTTTCTATCAAATTTAGACAAAATGATTTTTGCGCAACAAATTGAGAATCCAACTTATTTTCGCAAATCTCAGTCATTATATCTGAAATCAGTTTTTCTTAAACTCGAGAATTAAAGCAAAAAATTCGCTCTTTGTATCTGTGGCTTAATAATTTGCTTTTGAGACGAGTGAAATGATCCCATATGAAATAATTGGATCCATTCTGATTATAGTAATGAAAGTTATTTTATTGAAAACGATAGCGACCGATTAAATTTTCATCCCACGAATGACTTTCTCTTATTACACACTATATAAATATCTCTATCCGAAGCGTTTTCTTGTCAAAGAAGTCGTTAGCCTTGAAGACTGTTAAATGAGATCTCGTTTCTTCCTGAAAGCACCGTGAAGTAGACCAATAGAAAAAGAAAGAAGAGAGAAACAAAATGAGAAAGAAGAAGGAGATATAGCGGAACGTTCGGAAAATCGACGTCTCGATTAATTAGAGTCCATTCGATCGATCGCACGGTCACGTAGCTATCGTAGACTCCCGTGAAATTGTCTTCTCATTGATTTATAACGCGTGACGTTCTGTACTTCGTGACTGGCAATCCTTTTTTCAGCCCCATTAGTTTTCCACCGTCTTTGGAATCTCTTTTGACTGTCGCGTGCGTTCACGCGCGTACAACATACAATCCTTAACTATCTGTACAATAGTTCATTTCAATCGTTATTTTGTTTCGTTATAATATACGAATGACCAATTTTTGTTTTCAAAAATATCAACAACAAAAAATAACTTCTATATAAAGAATTTAAAAGGGTTGTTAAAATGTTAAATAAATGTTCAATCAAATGTTGAATCAAAATTAAGAGATCTTGTCTCAAAAAAAGAATAGCAGTTAAAGAAGGAAACTGAGCCAAGAGAGAGAGAGAGAGAGAGAGAGAGAGAGAGAAGGAAATAAAGAGTTGGAAAAGTTTCGGAGAAGGTACATTGTTAAAGCAAGGAAGCGAAATTGCTATATTTCCTGACTGGATCGAAATCATGTTATGAATCACTGTTGCGATGACCAAAGTCAACGCGCGGACGCTATCATTTCATATATTTTATTACTTGTCTACCCAACTCTCTCTTCTCAGTCTTACAATAACAAATAAGGACCTTGTGCAACGAGAAAAACATCTAGCTTGAGATACAAAGCGCGAGTTTTTATATACAAAATTCATTATGTATACCGTACTACTTCCAACGACGCCTCAAGATATGCAACTGAAAATTGTAGATGCATGTCCAACTATAAAAGCCAGGCGTCGTCGAAAAGAACTAACGATTTTTACGCGAGTGCATTTTGCACTTGATTAAGCACCATATTGAACTTTGTTTTAATGTGAATGATGTCTTCTTTTTATTTCTTTTTTTAAATGTTTCTTTGGTTAAGATTAAAAAACAAAAAATGTTATGATGTCTAGATGTTTCGAGTTTTCTTCTTCGAAGGATGTAATCGAAACTTTCAAAATTTCTACAATTCTTCAAAAAATCATCCCATTAAAACTTAGAAAAGCTAAGAATTTTAGATATAATGATTCTTAGTGTAGTGGACTAGAAAACTAGAGATAAATCGTGAACAACTTTTTTTATTATTTGCGAAAGATTCTCGCAAGGAGAATGGTAACGTGAAATTCGTTTGTCTAACATTAGGATGAGAGAAAGAGAACGTGAAAATAAAAAAAAAAAGTAGTGATAAATGCAACCATACGAAATGTTTTCGTTTATATCGACTTTGTCAAATATTCTCAAGCAATATTCTCGATTTGATCGATAAACTTTTTATGCTCGTCGAGACGTAAGAAGATAGAAGAAAGTTTCTTCGAAAATTGTTCTTTGGCTTTTCGAAACGTGATAACGCGTAGAAAAGGCCGTAAGGTTGGAATTGTAAAAGTATTTCATCTGAAATATCGTGATAGGGAAGTATCGACCGATTTGTATTAAACGTCGGAAAAAAATTGTATTCGGTAAAAGGAAGCGAGTCCGACGGACTCGCCAAGAATGCGCGAGTTTTCTTATCGCGTTAACACGCGCACGCAGATATGTGCTTCAGAAAATATTGCGTCCCGCATTCGTTAGAAGAAAGCTTAATGTTCCGTGCACGCAACGATATCGCCTGTTTCACTGGGATTTAAGAACGAACGAAAACTATATTCGATAGAATTTCCGGTCCTTATAGTAAAATTCTACGACGAAAGGCAACATCATTTTTCTTAACCGTCGAACAACACAGAAATTTGTTTCTACGCGTTCTCAGATTTTACATCATTATTATTCTTTTTAATCTTTTTTTGCTTTTGTTTTTTTTTTTCATCGTCCTTCGTTAAATGAATCAAATTTTGCTGCGTTTTTTCCGTTTTTTTTTTTTATTTTTCCTTTTTATTTTCCGCGCGTTATTTTACAGAATTTATACATTTCAAAGAGGCAAGTAAAATCGTGACCGTTAAAATCTTTTTGATGTCGATTCAGGGGAAAAAGCGGAATCGTCAAAAACCACAGGGCCGTTGTCATAATCGAAATTTATGAAAGGTGCGATCAACCAAAATTCTGCGAATTTATGCTGACATCAGTGATATGACGTTCCGAACTATCCAAGGTCCGAACCCGCTCGCTCGAAACAAATCTGAATGGATTTTAATATTTAAACCGGCTCTTTGTCGACCGGACATGGTCGGTATGTTTGAAGGCGCCAAGTCGAGCGAATAATTTTAATGACCCGAAAGAGCTGATGCAGAAACGACTGCGAAATGAATTTACCAATCGTACGTATTCCTGTGTAAATATGTGCGGCCGTACATAGTTGTACACTTACACATTGCGATATGTTTTATGAGCTCGTTAAAATAGAATCGGTTTGTGAAAGCAAATGGTAAATAACAGATAGACGCGCGGGTGCATTCAAATATTATATTTTTTAATTCATTTAACAATGTAAGATTGTCTAGTGATTTTTTCTATTCCATTCTACTCTCTCTCCGTTTTTCTTTTTTAATATTTTCTTCTTATGGATTTGCTTGTTGTTCGTACGAGCACTATTGCGAATGTTGGTGGATGTTGCCTTGTCGAATTTGAGATTCTCCTTGGTATACACAAGTCTCTCGAAATATTTGGACAAAGCGAAAAGACGGATCAG